GAAGCCAAAATAATATTTCCGTCTGCCTTCTTGACATCCCAACATGGGTGTCACACAAGGAAACTCAACACATCCCAAATGAACTATTTTTAATTTTTGTCAAATCCATTACCTCTCATGTGCTTCCTACTCCAGTGAGCGGGATCATCTTTTTCACCCAAAGTAAGAATTAAAGAGTCATCTTTGACACTTCACCAAATGCCACTGATTTCATAGCATATTAATTACCTATTTGTGTCGTACACATTGCTAAGTACATAAGACCCATCTTCCCGATGACTCTTTTTAACTACATGCCACATTATTCTATTTTACAAATAAGAAAACAGAAACTTCACAGCTAAGTGACTGAGGTCAGCATTTGAACTCAAGCCTATTTATTTTCAAAGCTAGTGTCTTCATGTATTTTTCCAATGTCTCCTCTCCTCTCTCTTTCCCACTGCTGCTGCTCTAGCTCAGGTCATTATAGAGGAAGCTCGGCTAGTCACTTCCCAGTTACTCAAATCACTTCATTAGCTACACTCTCCAGTTCCCTTTTACACTAATCACTAGGGCAAGTGGTAGGATGGGCTTTTCTGGATGCATCAATTTAGTGGATGTACCAAGAAACATTTGTATTTTGTTTATGAATTAGCCTGTGCAGTTGTGCTTTTTATCGTTACAATACTTAATTAAAGATTACATAAACCAATGAATATGAGTGTGAAAGAGAGCTATTCCTGTGAAAAATAAAGTCAAATATTTTGGAAAGACTCCAAAAGAGTAAGTGGCTGAAAATATTATACTCTAAATAAGTAATAAATAAGTAATGGGAAAGATGAACCAAAATGATTGGGGAAAAATTATAAAAATGTCCTGGGCTGGGGATGTGGCTCAAGCAGTAGCGCGCTCACCTGGCATGCGTGGGGCGCTGGGTTCGATCCTCAGCACCACATAAAAATAAGATAAAGATGTTGTGTCTACCAAAAACCAAAATATATATATATATATTAAAAATTCTCTCTCTTTAAAAAAATGTCTTAAAGATTTGCACTCTACCTTTCATTTCATTTCATGTCAAAGAAACAGAAACAGAAACATGAGCATAGTTTATACAAGAAAAATGGTACTAAACTCCAGTTATATTAAAAAAAGGGAATTAGTACTCTTATCATACAATCAGTGTGTGAATATGCCATGTATGTCTTAAGTTAAAATATAATGCCTATTATAAGTGCTTACATTTTTAACCATTGATGGAGCAACCTTTAAAAATGGCCAAATTTTAGTTTCTGATTCACTGAATGAGAGACCATCCATTGTACCTCCCATAAGCAGCTCCTTTTATGGGACCACTTAGTTTTCTGCCATAATTTTTTCACTCAGTTAATGAATGTATTGTGGAGCCAACTGTCTAGACTACATTACCAGCATTACTGCATTAAAACTCATATCTATCCCTACCAGTCCTCTGTTCACAAAAACTCAGTTGCTCCCACGGTGTAGAGAATGAAGCTGAAAGTACTTAGAATGTTAAAGACCTGCATGATCTGACTCCCACCCACAGTTTTACCCTCAGCTCTCACATTACACTAAGAGTACTCCATATTCACTAAACTTCTGTCATCCACACATTGGGTGTTGCCCAAACATACTATGCCCTTTTGCATTCATTCCGAGTGCCTGGGTGAACTCTGTATTTCTCATAATTATGCTCATTATTGAATCAGTCATTTATGGTGGGAAATATACCACACATAGAAATTATATCTTACAGAAAATGCTGAAAGCACTTGACTAAATTTAACTGAATAAATTTCAAGTAGTAATGTCAAGAGTCTTGCACAATATATAGTCTGGAGTCAGCATGAGGGAGAACTGATTTAGATTTTCTCTATACTTAAGATAACTTAGTGGTAAAGGAGTAAAAGTCTGCATAAAGAGAAGAACTTGACTGCTGTTATCCAGTTATTCACTCAGGAAGAGTAGATAGCACTAAGTTCCTGATGACAGTGTACTGCTGTGTGACTGTCCTTAGTCTTCTGTTGATTTTATTCACATTCTTTCCCTGGAGGGTCTTACACCTGTTAATTGCCTTAGCTTGGAATTCTTCAGAGGTCCAGAGTGCTTCTGTTTACCATATTCTTCTCTGTTTATTTGCTTTTGTAGATTTTTCACTTGGCAAAACACCATCTGACAGATGGGTTTAAAATTGAACTTCCCCACCAAACTCACTTTCCTCCGCCTTCTGTCTGTGGGACTGCCGTCTCCAAGGTATTGGAATTATTCACAGCTCTTTGGGATCTGTTTTGTTCTTCTTTAGCCCACCACTAATTGCCAGTTATTTCTTCCTATAGATTGAATATTTAAGGGCTTTGAAAACTAAAAGAATTTGCCCCATTACAGTGAAACGTCTGGAAACATTAGTCTATATTCCCTGTGCTCCCTTTGCCTTCTGTTCACTTCTCAACAGAAAGTCATATGGCTTCCGTCCCTCTAATTTTATTGAAGCTGTTCTCATCAAGGCTGCCAATTACTTCCTTAATGCTAAATTGAATAAACCCATCTCACTTGTCAATATAACTTTTGGAGATGTTGATCTTCATAGCAATCCTATTGACATGACATAATTCTTCCCTCATCTTCCATGAACCTCTCAGTCTCCTTCATCACACTATTCTTTATAATCTCTTTTTTTTTCCTGACCTTTAAAAATGCATCTGTTCTTCAGAGTTCTGATTCTTCTTGTCTCCTCCCTCCACACACCCCTCTGAACGATCCCATCACTTCCTCTGGCCTTCATTACCACCTCCACGTCAATGACTTATGTCTCCAGCCCTGTCTTCCACCTGAGTTCTCAAGATGCTCACATCCAACTGCCTCTGCACATCTCCTCTAGGATATTGCATTGACTCATGGACTTCAAACTTCCTGAAACTGAATTTAAAAATTAAAAATGCTTCTCTTCCTCCTTTCCCTATTTTGGTTAATGGTACTATCCTGTATCCATTTGTTCAAGCCTGAAACACAGACATCAGTCTTGAGTCCTATGCTCTTCCAATCAATATCAAACCAACTTTTGAAAGATTTCTTAAATCACCTACTTTCTCCATCCTTCCTGCATCACTGAGGTTGAATCCTTGAAATATTTCCCATAGATTTCTACAACAATTTCTGTATGGGCTCCCTGACTCCAGGCTGGTCCCTCTCCAATCTGTTTTTCCAGGTTGCAGAAAATTATTTCTTTTTAAACATGCAAATTTAATCATAAATTTAATCTTCCCAACTTTCCTGCTAATGTCTTCTCTCAGTATGAATTCTAATCTTTCTCACACGTTTCTGGGTCCTCTGTGATCAGCACACGGCCACTCTTTGCCACTTTGGCACTCTGCAGTGCTTTTTAATGTTGCCATACTGCTCCAACTCTCCACCTGTGTGCTGTGGTCACCTCCACAAATCTGCTTCTCTCTGCTTACCATATCCACAGCCTTTCCCTGAGATTTATTCATTTATCAAATATATTTGGAACACTTAAATACTCCAGACATTGTTCCAATTCCTCAAGCCATAACAGGAAGCAGGGTTGGCCCATCTCTGAACACCTGAGGCTTGGGATCTGCTGGTACACAGACAAGCATACTTAGGCCGTTGCAGACCTTCGTGATGAGGAGACACAGCTCCAAGAGCCCAATGACAGTACCTTACTCAGGTGACCAGCAGATGGTTTCCTGAGGTTAGTGTTAGGTCTGAGACAAAGAGGTAGAAGGTAAGTAGCCAGTTTAGCATCTTCACAATGTAAATCATTCTTTTCACTTCAATGTTTTCACTTTCCTTCTCACTGTTTGTAACTCTTGTCCTTCCTATTCCATATCTCCATTTATTAATTAATTTCTTTGGCTGATTCTTATTGTTCCCCTTCCTGGAAGTTAGCTATTTTTTTTCCTTCATTGGCAGCAACCATTGTCATATAAGTTCTCCCAGGACTGCAGCAAACCTACCAGTTCCCCTTCTCCAGATCTCTCCTCAAGGTGAAAATGAAGAGATCTCCATCTCTGATAACAGCCGCATCATCTTTCATCTTTTGGACCAAGTTGTCAACTAGTTTATAGCTAATTAGGGTCATACCCGAATGTTTCTTTTTTTTTTTTTTTATTCTTCTGTTCAGCACATTTTCCACATGTCCATTTGTCTTTTGTCTACAATGTATTGTCAAAAACCTCTATCTGAGGAATAGACAAGCCATGACATCTTTTCATTATGCAGAACAAAACAAGGTGGGTCAAATTTAAGAAGTCCTCATCATGGCTTTTAGATTACTGTCAAAATCAAGCTCATTGGAATACTGTGGTGGTGAGCAAGCTGGGCTTTGTTGAGTTTTAGTCTGAGCCATAACAATATCTCTTATATACGGTAAAAATTAATAATCAATTAATCTTACCCCACAAATATCTCACCTTTCTACTTTTAAAGAGACATGTGTTAAAAATTTGGCATTCAGAAGTCTGAGGCTGGTGTCTGATAACTTTGAGGCCAGCCTCGACAACTTAGTGAGATCTTTTCCCCTCTTCTCCCCCCCAACAAAAGGTGATTGGGGCCTGGTGATGTATGTCAGTGGTAGAATATTCCTGAGTACTGCTGAGTTCAGTCACCAGTACCAAAACAAACGACCAAAAATATTTGGTTCACTTACAACTTGTTATTTTATCTGGCTCTTCCACTCAAGTAGTCCCCATTTTAAAAGGTTTTAATCAGTGAGAAATACCCTAGAATACACTTGCAGTCACACAGCCTACATCTTCCCCAGGGCAGAGGAGAATGTGGCCCTAACTGTTATTGGAGAGTGGCTGAAGATGACTCTCCCTCACATGGGAAGGCTCATTATTTTCACTGATCACTACAGCCTCAAGATTGGACTGCAGTGCTGGTGCTTATAAAGAGAAGGAAGCTAATTATTTCATTTCATTCTTTTGTTGGAACATTTTCCTACCCACTTGCAAATAATCTTCTCTTTCCTTTAACAGCTCCTCTTTGAAGAGATCAAAAATAGCACATTCATCAAACGCACTGCAGTCAGAGCCCAGAGGAGAGGACTCAAGGCTGGGACCAGGGGTCAGTGTCCACGGCTCCTGGGTAATTGGCCTCCCAGGCTGTCCAAAGGGAGCTCTTAACTAAGGCAGATGGAGACTTCCATTTAATTCTTTGTATGTAAAACAAAATAATAATATGTAATTATTTCACCCATAATGGCAATCATGTTTCTGGAACAATGGCTGAATTCAGGGCACCGTGAATCATCATTGTGAGTTGTTTGGGGGAGTTTGTGAGCAGTCAATCCCTTGGTCTGAGGCAAAAGAAGAGCAGTCAGAACACATGACTACTTTTTCAGTTTGGGTTTCAGGGGAAAAGAAAGATGACACCTGAGTATTTTGATCACAAGCCCCTCTAGGATAATCCCAGACATAGGACATGGTACATCTGAAATATGGAGCACTTTATCTAGTTTTGACACCCTTTAACAGAGAACCAGTCAGGAAAGACAAATCTTGGAAAGAGAAATTAATGAATATAAGATGTAATTACTTTTATATACCATCTGGCAAATCCTGATACTGCAAAACGACCAGTCAAAATTTCAAAAAAGTCTTACCCATTCTGAGAGAATCTAGGCTTATTTATTTTTTTGACATTTCTAGTATAAATTTGGAAATTTAAGAGCAGAGCTGCCAAGTATGGGGTCTGATCAAGGAGTGGGGTGGGGTAAGGCCAAACTCTGACTGGTGCCCTGAACACTAAGCCCCATCCCCTGTCTTCTTCAATCCATGTATATGGACTAATGGGACTATAATGGACTATTCAAGAGACTAATAGAAAATCAACATATATTCTAATATCCAATAATAAGGTACTTGTTGGAAAGTATACATAGAATTATGAAAATAATGGTACATATGGATATGACTAGATGAAAAGGCAAGTTAGAATACAGAATATAATTTATATTAACTAATTTTGTAAAAAAAGTATTACCTAGAAATAGAAATATATACATGCAAGTATATGTATTTGTGTGTGTGTGTGTGTGTGTGTGAGAGAGAGAGAGAGAGAGAGAGAGAGAGGGAGAGAGAGAGAGAGAGAGAGAGAGAGAGAGAGAGAGAGAGAATGAATTGTGTTCATGTGATAAAAATGTTAAAAACCTTACATAATGGATTCAGGGTTAAGTAATAACAATTAACAATTGTTACTTTTAAAAGAGATAGATATTGCAAACTAACCAATCAGAGTTAGATTTTAAAATCATTTTGACAAGTTGTAAAGTCTAAATAATCCAAGAACAAAGTGATATTAACTGTTTGACTTGGACAGTTCTCCAATTGAAATAACTATGGCATATGACAACATTTTCACAAGCCAAGAATATGTGTTAAAGTGAATCATCAAATTGGAAAGGTAATTATAAAGTAATCCACTTCTGATATTGATTGCACTTAATGATCCTATTCAAAAGAGTAATACTATATTCCCTTAACTCTAAGTGATTTGTTACTGTACTGTTTAAGGAGGTAAAATATGTAAAGATGCTATGCATTTGGGACTCTGCTGCAAATTTATAATGAAAATCAGGGAAAGGGGGGGATGTTTATATGTGGCTTCTGTTCCAGTTAATCCCGAATACAAGAGGCAAAGGCTAATATTTATCAATTACACATTAGCTATATCAGGCATTGTGCTCATATATTTAACATTCACACCAATCCTGGAAGTATTGGTTACTATTCAAGAGACTAAAGCTCAGAGAGATTTTCTAACTTCTCTATGGTCACAAAACTAGTAAGGTGGTGATACCAAGATTCAAAACAAAGCCTTTCTTTCTAATTAGGCCATAGTTACAGCATTCCATGATGACATCTTTTATTAATTTTCAAAATTGTCCAACCTGCCCGTTGCTATAAGATCATGCATCCCGCCTCATTGACTTTGGGCATGGCCACGTTAGGAGCTTCGGCCATTGGAGCATGTGTGGACGTGATGAACACCATGCTTTTTCAAAGGCTGCATGGGTTTTATCAGCTCACTTGCTCTTTCCTTTCTGCCATGTAAATGTACCAAACAGGGCATTTCTGGGATTGAGAATGTGGAGGTATGTGGGATAGAGTTGAACCTCAAGCTGCTGCCAACCCAAAGCTGCTAACCCGTGAAGAAGTGTGTGTTAGTTTTCTGTTGCTGTATTTTAAAAATACCACAGATTTAGCAGTTAAAAGACAGCACAAGCTTGTTATCTCACAGTTTCTGAAGGTCAGCTTAGGAAACAGGTTGTTTGCTCAGGAGCCTCTCTGGGCTGAAATCAAGGTTTCAGCTGCAGTTCTCTCCCAGGGTTTGGCGTTCTCTTCTGAGCTCACTGGTTGTTGGCACAAGCTATTTTCCTTGTGACTGTAGGACAGCAGTCTCATTTTCTTGCTGTTGGTCAGGAGTTGTTCTCAGGTCTTTTCAATGTGGCCCTCTCTGTCTTCAAGCTATCAATAGCACATTGAACTCCCCCTGGAAAATCTTTGAATGCCAGAAAACTCTCTGCTTTTGAAGGGCTGTGTGATTGGGGTAGATCCACCCAGATGATCTCCCTACCAGAATATCAGCTGATCAGTACAAAATACCTTTGCCATGTAATCAACATAATCACAGGAGTAACATCAGGGGATAGAGACCAAAGGGGCCATCTTCGAATTCTGTTTACCACAATGAAATGAATATTTATATTGTAAGCTACAGAGATTTGGAAGATTGGTTTTTACTGCAGTAAAACTGACCAATATAACTCATTCCCCAAAAGTGTGTCTGTGTACATTATCAAGCATAGGAAACGGCACAAGTCCTAAGGTGCTGCTCAATGAATTATCTCAAAACATATCTGCACAACCACCCCCCAGATTAAACAAATTAGCAAAACCATATAAATAGACAATACCAATAACATTAATAAAGTCACAGCAGCCCTACCATGTCCCTTTTCAGTCATTTCCTCAGTCTCCAAATAGACACTATCCTGTCTTCTAACACCATATGTTTTCTTTCGAAACTTTTAAGTATAATCTGGCTTCCCTTCCTGTAAGTCTCGTTCCTATTGCTTGAAGTTTTGGTTCATTTTCTGTGTACTAGTCCATTATTTAGACAGTCTATGTTTTGTTTATCCACTCTATAGTTGCTGATTTGATTACTTTCCAGTTTTCAGTTACCACAAATTATACTGACCCTACTAGTGTTTGTAAAACCCCTCTTGTCTCTCCCTCCTCCACTCTTTCTTTCATGTTTTTCTCTCTGATACCCTTGTATGTTATAGCTAGACTTCCTTCCCTCTAAAAAGCAGAATTCCAAGTTGATTATTGTAAATAATTTTCTAAATTATTCTTTTTTTTAAATGTGGTGCTGAGGATCAAACTCAATACCTCACATGTGCAAGGTTAGCACTCTAACACTGAGCTACAGCCCCAGCCCTCTAAATTAATCTTTAAGAAACCCTCTGTTATAGATGATTTGGAAGCCACTGTGAAATGGATTCAGACCAAAGAAGTAGGGAACTACAGGAGGGGGAAGAGAGATGGGATTTTAGAACCTTGGTATATCTTAGCACAGAAACTCAGCTTAGGTGAGACCGAGTTCATTTCAGTTATTACTCTAAGCAGAGCCATGCAGACTGGCAGAAAACAGTATAAGATTGGTGGTACCATTTGGGGGATCTGATTCATGTTCCTCTACTTTTCCTGGCTTGATATGTCACTACTTCTGTAAGCTTCATTTCCCTTGCCTGTTACAGGGGCAATGATAATTTCCATTGAAATATTGAGGTTTTTTTTTTTTATTATTCTTTGTGCAAAGAACACAGCATCTTGCCCCAGATTGTCTTTGGAAATACTCAGGCTCATCTACGAATTCTTCTTCTCAGTTTTGAATTTAAAAAATAAGCTAAAACATTAAAGGATTTCCTCGGTTCATCAAGTTAAGATCTTTTATATTTCAGTAACTCATTCATTCATCAAACATTTACAGGTCATGCATTCTGAAGCACCTCGGATAAGCCAAGATAAATAAGACAGTTCTAGCTCTCAAAAGGTCCTTAGTCCAGCAGGGATTTCAGGCATGTTGACAAATATCATGACTGTGATAAGGCTGACAACTAAATGATCAAAATACATTTTGAAGCACAAAGCTATTAATTCTATTTAGAATTTTCAAAAATAGAGAGAAAAAGAGTAAAAGTTGACATTTTGGTTGAGTATTAAAGAATAAATAGAAATTCAGAAAGTGAGCAAACAGAGAAGGTAATTCCAGATGAGGGGACCAGATAGAATGTGGGTGGATAGATATAGTAGTGAAATTTAACTATCTTGTTTAAGGAAAAGTGAGTAGTTTTTACATATCTGGTATAAAGCATGCAGAGTGGCATAGCCACAAGGATCAACCCAATGATCTATTGATCAAGCAAAGCTTAGTTAACCTGCAGAGGTAAGGAAAAGAGGTTTCTTACAGAGCTATCATAATGTCTAGAAGGGGGAACTTGGAGCACATATTTTTAAGACTGAGGTCTGGGCTCAAATGGCTCAAAGAATCTGATTGAGACTGGGCAAAGTTCATTACAGATTGTTTAGGACTGATGGAAACAAAAAAGAACCATTCAAAACAAAAAAAAAACAAAAAATAAAAACAAAACAAAACAAAAAAAACTCCAAAACACAAGCAGGTGAGAATTCTTCTAAACCCATTCAGTGAAGCTAGTATTACCAAGGTATGAAAACCAGACAAAGACACTATGACAACACCAACAAAAGAAAAAGAAAGAGAGAAATATAGACCAATATCTCTGATGAAAGTAAATATAAAATTGTCAACAAAATAATAACAAATCAAATCCACCAGAACATAAGAAAGATTATACAATGTGCACAAATGGGATTTATCTCAGGGAGTCAAAGAAGATTCAATATATAAAAATCAATAAATATAATACATAACATCAACAGAGCAAAACAAAAACCATATGATCATCTCAGAAAAAAGCATTTAACAAAATTTGATGTCACTCAACAAATTCAATTTAGAAAGAATGTGCCTCAACACAA